GTCCAATATCCCTCCACTCTCAGAACAAACCCCAGCCCCTCTTCAGCTACCCTCCTTTCCCTGTCCTGTATCTTACTGGAAGGAACCTTTTACCAGTGACAGTTTTACCATGAGCTCCTGTGAGCCAGGTGAGTGATTCCAGCTGGGAAAGCAGAGGCAAAGCACCATTAGCCTCATCTTTCCCAGAAAAACTGAAAAGCTACAGACACCAGTTAAATGGGCTGTTCAAACCCATCAGCTTAAAATTACCTTTTCTAGCGGTAAATGGCATTTATTCCTTACTGCAAAGCCCAAGCTCGGTGTGACCGAGACAGGAACGGGACACAGGAAGCCTCAGCTGAGGTGGGAGCGGTGTTACCCCCGGGGCAAGCAGGAGCTGCTCTCACATTGTCTTCACTCCAGGCAGAACGCAGAGCATCTCAAACAGCAGGTTTGCCCCCAGAAGAGCTGTGTTGCCTGAGAAAAGACAAAAAGGGGGAAAAAACCAAGCCATGAACGCCCAACCGCTTCCACCTGGGGCCATCAGCTGCCTCTGCCAGGCGCCCATCTCGCTCCTGACCATCTTTAGACTCACCAGAGACATCGTACATGGGTGCAACTTCCACAAGGTCACAGCCCACTATGTTCAGTCCTTTGCAGCCACGAATAATCTCCAAAGCCTAGGAAAAAAAAACATGCTTGGGATCAAGAAACACATCTGACCTAGCAGGCTGGTCAGGGCTCTGCTTTCTCCTCTTGCAGCTCAGGAAACCAAACCTACACAGACCAAATCACATTGTTTCAACATTTCCTGTCCCCGTTACCACCATGAAATACTTCCTGGCCTCCCCAACCCTTGGTTTTGCCACGCTGGCAGCACGACCTCCTTTAATGAGAGTAAAACTGTCCCCTTCCCACAGGGAAATGAAGCCGTGTCCCCCTCACCTGCGCAGGTGTGAGCCCAGCTATCTCTGGCGTGCCAGTGCCCGGGGCGTACGCGGGGTCTACTCCATCGATATCGAAACTGATGTACACCGGCCTGTCCCCCATCTGCTTCCTCACCTCCTCCATCAGCGGCACCAGCGATTTCCACCAGCACTCTTCTGCCGGAACCACACGGAAACCCTGCGGGCACACAGACACAGAGGTGTCCACTCGGAGCAAGGTGGCAGAGCAGAGCATCCCCTGCCCGCTGGGGATTTCTGCCTGGGGGATAAATCCTCATCCCAGGGCCAAGCTGCAGAGGTGCACCTGGAAGCACCCTCTGCTCCCCCCCTCCGTTTTTTTATTCTCTGCTCAGCTCGCGGCTCAGTGTGCCGGAAGCCCTTGTCCTGTGCACCAAGCCACTGGCATGGGACAAGATGTGGAAGAGACATTTATTTTCCTGATGAAGCTAAAGGAGAGAGAGCTGCGGGTGCCTGCAGCTGAGCTTACCTGGTCCCGGCCGTACTTGTTGGGATCCGGGTCATAGGAGGAGCCTCGGATGCCAATCTGGATGACACGGCCGCGGTCCAGCAGCCCTTCCTCCATGCAGCGCCGGAATGGGGTCCCGTGGCTGATCCTCTCCCCCAGGGTTGTGTCTGCGGTGTCGCTGTGAGCGTCCACGTGCACCAGCCCCACGGGACCGTGCCTGGTCGAGACAGGGTGACATCAATCCCCATCCCATGAGCAATGGCTCTGCCTCCACCGCGGACCAGGAGCCTTCCCAAGGCTCCTTATTCTCCATCTCCAGGTCAGAAACTTACTTTTCCGCCAGGGCCTGCAGGATGGGGTACGTTATGGTGTGATCTCCGCCTGCAACGGGAGAGGGAAGTGGCTGTGACACACTGCAGCGCTCATTACGTTTGTTCCCAGCTGATTTCTCCCACCTTGCCTTTATCCTGCACTTGTTTTTACACTCCAGGGCTTCATTCACAAAAAAAAAACAAAACTCGAGGCTCCCGGGTACAGGTTGCTTCCTCTCTCCTCGTCCTTCCTGGGAAAAATGGGAGGACCAGAGAGGCACAGCTCTGCTGGCAGGGGCAGCCCGCGGAACAGGACCCCAACTGGGGTTATAAATAGGTCCGTGAGTCACTCCTGAGGACGCTGTCACGGATAATTTGCCCCACGTTACTATATACACTGGCTTCATGTAGCGACACCGAGCTGTGACAGCTGGAAATTTGAACACGCGTCCAAATCACTCCTCGTGCAAAGCAGCACACTGCCGGGTACTTGCTGGAGCTTGAAGCTTTTCAGAGGGACAAAAACTGCTCTTGCTTTGGGTCGGGCTCAACAGGACACCAAAAGCACGCTGCCGATGGGATTTGTGGATGAACTTGGGGCTGTGCACTGAAACATTGTTTTGGCTGATCCATTCTCCCCATTTTTCACATGAGGCATCACAAATAGCAGTAATCTCAGCAGAGAGTGTGTAAATTTACTGATTATTTCCCCATTTAGCCCACGATCAAGCACAACACCCCGTGCAGAGAACAGATTCATGACCCACCTTCGACCATGTTCAGACCGAAGGAGGGAAGGAGGAGAGGGAGGCTGGAGGAGCCGGGACACAGCGGCACGGCAGGGAGCCAGGGGGTCCTTACCCAAGGTGAGGGGCACGCAGCCAGATGCCACGATCTTCTGGAAGGACTCTCGGATGAGGCGGCAGCTGTCAGGCAGGTTGTAGAGGTTGACATTGACGTCCCCGATGTCAGCGCCCCGCAGGGAGTCGAAAGGCGCAGCCGCGGTGCTGCCGTTGTACCTCCTCACCATCACCGACTCGGCGCGGATCTGGCGCGGGCCAAACCTGGGGAAAAGAGAGCCCAGAGAGGAAAAGCTGCAGGGCAATTCCGGATGCCAACACCCTCTCTCATGGGATGAGACCCGTGCCGGCTGCCGGAGCGAAGCACCAGCTCCCCTGGCACCACGAATAGCCCCTACCTGGCTCCCGGTCGGTTGGACGTGCCAATGTCCAGAGGTTTTTTTAGCCCCCCCGCCGATGCCTGCACGGGCAGTTTCATCATGGAGCAGACCCCCGCAGGCCGGGCCACGGACAGGGCACTCGGGGGAATGTTGAACTGTGAGCTCCAGCAGCAAAGGGCCCCATGTCCCGGGGCTG